CCCTGGCTAGTTGGGAAAAATGGAAGGGACCCAGACGTGGCGGAAAGGGACGATGAGGGGTCTAGAGCGTCATCCAACTCATCAAGGTCAGTATCGGACTTCGGAGGAAAGGCGCTATCAGCGGTGAAGACAGGCGAGGGAAACGCGATAGGGTCTATTCTGAGGAAGTAGCATCCCCCTTTCCTTCTTGCTGTGCGTTTGTCCCTCAGATCGTCCCTTGCGCACCATCTCCCTCATCACCCTTCTGCCCGTCTGGAGACGACGGCTGCACACCATCGACGTGCTGTCCCAATACTCCAGTCAGCTATTTACAATAGATCGCGGTTTCCCGGCCACTATGAAGATCCTCGACAGTCCCTTGGCGGCTGCTCTGCATCCAGCGGCATCGCCCGAATTCTCCCCTCTTGCATTAGCAGAAGACTTTACACCGCTACCGGCGTACAAGGCGGCACAGACATCCAACTTTGACATATCGGGTCTGCTTGCGACGCCGCTGAAGCTTCACGAAGACCTCACTTCCGGCTGTGGCGGTCAGACATGGCCTGCTGGCATGGTGCTCGCCAAGCACATGCTTCGATACCACAGGGAGGAAATGGCCAACGCGAGAATGTGAGTACAGCCACCCGCACACACTCCCCACCTGTCGATAACGCGCCAGAAAATTAGGGGACCTGGGGATCTGTGGACCACAGAAAGCACTTCGCTGACTCATATTGTCCAGACTGGAGCTCGGTGCTGGCGGAGGTCTCGTTGGCCTGGCTGTCGCCAATGGGGCCGTGGCCGATGGCCACCAAGGCATGCATGAGTCGCCGTTGCTCCTCACCGACCAAGACGAAATGTTCGCTTTGATGCAGCACAATATTGCTTTGAACGACCTTGGATCCAACGTGAAGCCTTTGGTATTGAACTGGTACGTTCTGTGTCCTTGTCATATTGAGCGCTTACTCGAATCGATCTCTCGCACGCTGGGGATGTGTCGTGCTAAGCGGTTTTCGTCCCGGCGCATTAATCGCCGCCATGCTCGTTCGAAACAGAGCGCACACATCTCGCCTCTTTGCACAGTGACGCATCACCGCGTCCATCTAACAGCAACGAGCATGTTCTGCTTCCGTCTGCCCCACAAGATAGATGCCTCATATTGCCATTGTGATTTGATCGTGGATTTGTGGCGTACAGGTGCTAATACCTCCTTGCGTGCTATAGGGGCGAGTCGCTGCCAAAAGACGTGATTGACTCAAAGCCTACTGTCGTTCTAGCTGCCGACTGCGTGTACTTTGAGCCGGCGTTCCCACTACTGTTGGAAACACTGTCAGACCTGCTGGCGCTGAACGAAAACGCCACAATTTACTTCTGCTTCAGGAAAAGGCGACGCGCTGACATGAATTTCATGAAAAAGGCGAAAAAGAGGTTCCTTGTTGAGGCAGCATTCGACGAAGATCAGGCTGTCTTCAGTCGGGAAAACATATTC